TTGAAAATGTTGTCCCACAACTTTACATAGATATTTTAAACCTGTACTCTCGATGTTCCTTAGCCTTACGTACCTTAGTACGCTAGCGTTTACGAATTTTATAGATTTTTTATGGTTGATAGCAATTATTAGGTATAGGAGGTTTGTGAGTCTATTAAATTGGTATGGACGGTAATAACTGTGGCCATAGTAATTACAAATTAAGGTTACAGTAGGGCTGTTTGGTATTGCAACAAAAATACTTTTCTCAGCCTTTCTTATAAACTAATAATCTTTTACAGGGGTTAAGGATCTCTCCGAATATTTTTGAATTCAGCAGCTTTTGTGTTCTACAATTGTGATTAATTTCTACGTAAGTGTAGCGATTCTTTTAGTGTTAGTTATGCTACGAATTAAACTGTATGACATTTTAGAGACTGGATTCACATTCTTTAAATAGTTTGTATGTTATTCGTTGAAGTTAAAAAAATTAAAGTTCACGAGGATGTGTGTAAACAATTTTTAATAAACTTGTTTTCAATAGTTACCATAGTAATATTTTAACGCAAAATTTTGATTTACAAACCTTTAATTCTTATAAACACTCAATGTTGACTTTTGTCGCGAGACGATACTTATCATACTAAATTTCAATATTTGCCAGACTTTATATACAAAGTTGTATAAAAAAACGTCACATTGAGTTAACCGATCGTGCGCAGTTTTATGACAATGTATGGGTTGACTTTGTTCGAACAAAACGCACCGTTAGTTGCCATCGCGATCGACCTGAGCTAGGGGGAAAGGAGTACCCGGGCGGGGGACCACCTGCGTTTAACTAAACGAAAGCGATCTGCCGAGTAGGCATCAGATAGAATATCCTACGTGTCTTATCATCATTTGTTGACATTATTTATAAATTAAAAAAAATATTGATAATTCATACTGTAAATCGAAAATGTATATAATAACGTCTTTAAAGTATCAGATAGCGATATAAAGACTTAGAACCTTTAGTGATGCGCACAAAGTCTTTGAACGGTCACTAAGGAGATAATTTATGATATAGTATAAGAAATGTATACTAAGCGATGTTTAAGTAACCCTTAGTTTTGAGTGTGGCTATCAGACATACTCGTATAGATTTGAGACGCGTCAGCAATAAGTAAGTTTAATTTTTTCAGGATTGAGGTTAGATATGACGCGAACACGAATTTATATGTCATTATCAATAACGTAAAAGAGTCATCGTGTGCTTATTGTATCGGTTTAATACACATTGATCATTATGTGTATTGATTATGCAGGTGAATCCTTTGACGAAACAATAAAATTATAATTGAAATACTAAGAAAGGCTATGAGATAAGATAATTATAACAAAAGTGTCAATGTATTTTTAATTTTAAAGTATTTATTAGTGGTAATAAGACAGTTACTAGGTTAAAATACAATTTAGATCTATAACTACTCAATACTGTGTTTGTGGGTTTCCCAAAGCACTTATTTTCCTTGATAATTGAGAGGTTTTTGTACAGGTGTTTCAGCAGTGGAAACTCACAGAAGCTACGTTAAACATTTAAGAGTCGACATGTCTGATTTGAATGTCGAAGTGCTTACGTCGATAAAGCAATCGTAGTCCCATTCAACACTTATTTTAGAAGGTCCGAGTAACATAATTTACAGTCCTGATAGTGATGTTAGTCGAGAGATGCGCGTTGTGCAATTTAAAGTGTTGTCCCGAGATACGATAGTATTTTGTCTATGGTCTTGTAACGGAATTTGGACGGTTTTTTTTATTTTACATCAGTAAGAACTATTGCTTGAAGACTATGGTTAAGGAATTTGAAGCAAATTATTACATGGGTTTATTAATTATGATATTTTACATGTTTTTCTTGAGAAAGTACAGTACCACCTTTTTGTTGTAAAATAGCTGTCACCCACGACTACGTTCGCGCTTTATTAAAAAACTTAATAACTGTTTTCTTCCAGACTATGTTCTACGTGTACATATGCCATCAATATCATTTGAGGCGTTCTGGAGATACCTTCAAACGAACATTAATCCATCTAAACATTCACATTTATTATATTAGTAAGATATAAAACACTTTAAACTATCGTGTAAGGACACTTAATAATCTTTTTATCTCTTGCATCTAATGCACGTAATGACTAGATTAATTAGACATATTGATGTAATCGGTACGCACATAAAAATTATGAAATAACTTTTCAATACACAGTAACAACTGAACACCTGCGACTCGCTTACACGAGAAAATTTATTTCTATTAGACTTCTAACGATTTTCTAATAGCGAGATATATACCGTGAGTTTCCACTGCGGAAATAACCTGTCATGCAATAACAGCTTACTGTCATTTCTTACTCATTCTTTTATATAAAAAAAGGAGAGGGCATTGTTAACACAATACAGGATTTTAATTTTGAAGGCTTGCTTCCATTTTGCAAAATTCTTATAAAATAAACGTTCCTTTCAAGTATTTCTATTAATACATATATATTATTATATAGAAACAATAACTAATAATACTAGCTTAGTGTAACTTATACATTTTGTATTTGCGAGGGTTTTAGAAGGAATTCAGTGACCACACGTATAGAAGAATTTATAAAGACAACTAGACGGCGTGGCTTTTTTATAAAACCCATACACGACGAAATACCGTTGTCTTTGGTCACTAAAATAGCTATAGCTTTACTACCTGTCACTTTGTTCCAAATACGTTCTTAACAAATGACAAGATAAGGTTTAAGCAACTTAAATTTTCGATACGTCTAGTCACTTATATTAGCATGCATTGTCGCTTTTGGGTTTTACTGAGGCGATTTATCTGTTATATATAGGTATGTATGTTTAGTTGTTTTAGGGAGGTTAAAAGGTTAAGGATGTTTTAGGGTTGTCACCTTTTCGCACGTAACTCTTATCCAAGTTGGTACAGTACATTTTCAGTGTACGTTTTGACATTGATGATCGTCACAGAATGGTTAATGTAATAGTTTTGTTTGCGTCTGCTAAGAATCAAGGGTGAACATATTTTATGTACTGGACATTGTTTTTTCGTTGTCGACACGTCACTAGCCTTTTTCTTTCGGGCCTGTTTAATTGACAGTTGACAGCCCTAGGCATGGTACAGTCGTGACAAAAGTTGGAATTCACGCGGAGACGTGGACGCGACCGGCCAGTAGCTCTTGACGGTTGGTTCAAACATTCTAATGTATGATGACGCAATGCTACACGAACTGGATTTGCACTCGTCTCACTAAACTCGGTATATTAATAACACAAGCTTTATCTATATTAAAACATTTTGCCAATCATTTTAAATCTTAATAAGTGACTTTATAATAATGTTCACTAGCTTATCTACTTCATTTTAACTTTTATATTTCTTCTATTCTAAAATTACCTTCGTCTTGATAGAAGATACTGAAAGTACATGTAAGTCAATAAGGTTTTAGGTATTTAATATAGATTTGCGATGATGTCATTTAGTCCTCAATAAAAATTAAATACCAATGCATTATCACAATACCTTTAATTGGTGTGTATCAAAGCAATGTAGACTTTCTAACATGAATTACGTCTTAAAATATGGTTAAATTAGGAAAGGAAACACACACTTCCGCGACGCCCACAAGCATCGTCTGAGTCGCGCTAAATACATTTCTCGTTATAAAATTACGAAACAAACTCAAACATCAAATCGTTTACGGTAATTCTTTTTCAAATCGAAAATGTTGTCTTAACTTATAAATTACTTTAATTAATATGCGACCGCGAATCTTTAACGAGTTTCTGGTGTGAGTGCGGTGTCGGAAAAGATTTGCGCATCCATTGCGGTATCTTATTAACATTCTAGTGGGTGTTGGCTTACAAAAGAGTTATTGCATGTATTGCAAAATGAACGTGTCGGATGCGTTCCGTGGCTAATGTTGCGACTGTACGGCGCTGGCCAGACTGCTTGGCGCGCCACTTTTTTTTCAAACAAACCTATTTTCTTTATGAATTTTGGACAAGCGTAGGCGTCGCTCTCGGAAATTGTAAACTTTCTTTTTTATAGTCCCAGAGAGAATGATAATTTAGATGATACTTGCCAAACAACTAATTTTGTTAATTTTTTAGTGGTTGACACCAATATTCTATATAATTCTATTAATTAAAGTTTAAAGTATCAAAGAAAATATAAATCAATTTCCTAAGTATATAGATTTATTGTTAGCTAATGTGGAAAAAGAAAATTATGCTTTTTATGCATATTTTTCTTTTTTTACAGTAGACTTGATAATTAGTAATAATACATCAGCCCAAATGCTGAGTATTAAATCTAAAAAGTCCATAGCTCGATGTTTATGATTCTCATTAGACAAAAAGCGAGTCTCTGTCTAGCTCACAAAAAATCTATTTCGCGACGTATAATGTTAATTTTCGAACACGTGTTTTAAATATTTTTAATGATGAGTCATGGGTCTAAGCGGATTACGCAACATCTTTAGTTAATGTATTTAATATGCCATAGATGTATTGTGACGTCACTTATTGATTATAACTGTATTAGCACGTGTGATTTAAAAAAAAGCATTATACAAAACATAATACTGGCAACTTGATGCCCTAATTAGAAGAAAAAAATTGTGAAAAATTAAAAATACGAAAATTGTACTTTTACTTTCATAATATTAATGCTGAAAGCTTTATGTTTATTAAAATAAATATATCGATAAAGGTTAAAAGACATAGTATATTCATGTAACAGTCATTAACAAATCCCAAATAAGGCGGAAAAAGAAAAAAATACTGTTGATTTTTTTATCGAAAAACAAATATGAATTAATAAGTTTCCGCAAATAAAGAGGGTTTTTCCTAATGAATCGAAACATATTTATATTCCGTTCGTATATCGTTATGATAGTTAAGAAAATTTGTTGCTCATAGTATTTTACTATTTTACTAAAATTAAACACTCTTAATTTGAATTGAAATCACAATTTTATAAAAGAATTATTTATTGATTTAATCAAAAATAAAATTATTGTCATAAATCGAAGTGTCTCGAACATTCGCTTTTCTTTGCCTTGCTATTATGCCAGCTTGAAGGTGATACTGACGATACATGTATTCTTTGGTCATGGCTTGGGCTGTAAACATGCCTCGGCTGCGTTGAAGAATCTCACTCGCTGGACCCCAACTAGGATCGATTCTTATCACAGACCAAATATCTTTTCTTAAAACAGCAATTAATAGTTTCAAAAGTATACCAAACAAGATGTAACCAATCGCCACTAATAGTAAGTAACGTCCGGTAACGTCCACTATATTATTACTATCCCAACGATAATGTATTTCATTGCAAAATGCATACAAAAGTATAATACTTGTGGCAACCCAACCTATTTTCATAAAAATCGATGGCTGAACACCTAACATAAAATGTACATCCTCTCCGAATCGATGCATTCCGTACATTAATACAAAAACGAAACACTCTATAGCTGCTATAAATGTAGAAAGAAGATTCAAATAAGTTCTACAAAGTGATAAAAATAAATTAATACCATATTTCGATTGTAGCGGGATAGTTATTAGAAATAATATAACGATACAGGTCAAACAAATTAATCCAGGATATTTAGCAACTTTAGAATTTCTTCTTCTCACCATTTCTAGTAAGTTAAAGAAAGCGATTACATTTGTATTAAGACCTATAATAGCATTGGCACTATAGATAAGTGGTAACCATAGAGAACTATTCCGGTAATAGCGAATGAGTCGTGGAATCTTCTCAAATAATAATGTCATTGGTGCTCTAATTAAAAATTCCGGTTTCATTCTGTAATGATAAGCATACGGACAATACATCATGGCTGTCGTACAAACTGTAAGAACAATAAAACCTATAGTGATTGCTACACAAATTACAACATTAGAGTAGCAGGGCGATCGAAAGCTGACACCAGATGCGAAGTTAAATGTTATTCCAGAGCCGATGGTTAAAGTAAAGATAACTTGCTGAATCATATTTGACAGACGAAATTTTTTACTAAAATTGTTAAAGTCGAGGTCCAAAACATCTTCGTACTCAACGACTATTCCCTTTTGAAGCATCGAACCAGTAAGAAGTAATATATAAGCGAAGATAGGATAAATAACAAAGAAATGAACAAAACATTTTATAGATTCCATTCGCTTGAAGCAACTTAAAAATGTCATAGCACAAACAAATCCAGATGCGAGGCATACACGCCACACTATGAAAAAGTTTCTAGTATTATCCACTTCTAATATATAAAATCTCCAATACTGGTATTCGGGATATGTAGTATGCAGTTGATCACAATAGCTTGAGCTGAATTTCCGCTTTATACAATCTTCGTTGACGGTGTAGTTGGTAAGTAATATGTCACAGTCCTGATCGGACCAGGATCCGCATAAGAAATAAGGTATTGGTTTCTCGAAGCTGATTAAGAAGTAATGCAATAAGAAGGAGACAGCGTTGTGATTGTAGATGATAAACAAAATTTGCCAAATCACTTGCACGTAACCAATGTGGGAGAGACATTTTCGGATCGTCCACACTGAGATACAGTCTCTAGCTGTGAATTGGCTGACGATGGATTCCATGTACAGCAACGGTATTCCGATTACAATAAATAATATGACAGCGCACAATATATTTCCTGTTGTACCAGAAGCTAGGGCACCCGTTGGTATACTTATCGTACAAGCAGTTCCGATAGTTTGACACAACATCACAAGTATATGAACCCGTCTTGACATACGAAATTCTGCATCATTTGTAGCCATTCTTTAATTATTTACTTCTGAAAATTTACGATGAACATAATATTTGAATTTGAATTTCATGACCATACGGATTTTTTTATACCAGGCAATGATTACTTTTGTCGTTGAAAAAATTATAAACGTATTTAAATTAAAAAGAAAAAAGTAACGAGTATATTATCTTTGTTATATTGTTTTGGGGATGAAGAAACGAAAATATCACGAAAAAAAATTGATTACTGCCTGGGGAAGAACTAAAAAGAAAATTTACTGGATTTTTAACTTTACTGAACAGTAAATTTTACCCCAATATTGTCAATTACAGTAGTAATGTTAGTTATATTGAAGTTTTTCTAGTTTAATTTTAAAACGTATTATTAAATCAAAACCAGTTTGAACATTTACACATGCGGATTTAATGATTTGATATTACCATCAAACGAGTTAGAGAATTTAAAAACATAGTATTTGAACAGCGGTATTAATAAGGAAACGATAATTACAGTTCAATGAACGGTATCTAAATGTTGTGTAAATATATTGTACTACCTCCAACTTCAAACATAATATTAACCTCGTAAACAAGTAAAACCTAATATCGTAGAACTTAACCTATCAAGAGCTGGCATGTCCTATTTCAATTTTACCACAGAAATCTATCTATATTTTCTAATACTCGATGAGTAAATTATTAGTAAAGGTTCTAGTTGCATTACGTGCGTATCCCAGCTTAAAGACATTCCGAGCAGGTGTCCGCTAGATAATGAAATTACAATTGACAAACGGCACGCAGTTTCACTTTATACACAACGATACGAGCCCCGAGACCCGTTTACTTGCAAGTAAATGTTACCACAAGGCTTTCTTGTTTCACACTCGTCGTCGACAACCATGCAGGCAACCAAAAGAAATCTCTGGATAATAATAGCATAAGTATTAAAGTTGCGTAAACAATGACATCAGAGCTTAATTTTGGGGAACCCATAGATCTTAACCAAAAAGTATTTAGACGGACAGGAGTCCACAGCGGCAAATTCAAACAGTCATCCTCCATCAAAGGATATTAACATGTATAATTTTATATGAAGCCAGTTGGACCCTTGTCATTTTCAATGTACTGCATAATAATAAAAGCAAATAATATTAAAAGATATAACAGACGTTAGCACCACTAAGAATTAATAATCGTTTTAGCTTCTATTGCTTATCTATTTCAGTCCATTTTCCCAATACATCTAAAGAACATAGGGTGCTAATAAGATCAGATTGGTTGATGTCAAGTAGTAATCTTATTAGACAGAAGTTCTTTATTACGTAAGAGCTGCCGTACACGGCCGTAAAGCTGATCGGAACAGTAGACTCTAATGGCAAAGACGAAAGAAAAATCAAATACAATTATTTTTATTTAAGAATGCATGTCACCGAAAAGTAACCGACAGACGCTATCAGTAAAAAATATGCATCTTTTATTTACACTGTTATTATCTGTCAACAGTATCTAATCAATATTTCTGCAACGTACCAACGTTCATACAGATAAAGACGAAAGAAGACAATTTTTGCGAGCCCCGCCTATGTTTGCTGACCTATATTTTCGTATCATATAATTATGGTATTTGTAAATTTTCAAATTGTTGTGCAACCGTTTTTACACTTTTTGAAATAATTCTGCTTTTATAAAATAATTTGTCCTGAAAGTAAGTTTAATATCTTAAAACAATGGTGAATTTATTTTTGACCCCACTGCATAAGGCTTGTGACATATATTATTATTTGCACTTTTCAGCAGTGGAAACGCTGTTTTACACCGTTATTGTGACAAGACATAGAAGGACGTTATAAGGAAAAATAACTTCAAATTATATTACAATCAAAACTAGATAATGTATGTCTTGGTAGCTTCGATATAATATGTAAATAGAGAAGCCAATATTTACAATTTATTGAATAATTTTTTTACTACAATTTTGAGATATTTTAAGTTTTATTAAATATTTTTAACGACAACGTTTAATTATCTTGTTAAAAATTTATGTGTTATTATCTAAAATAAGGTAAGTCACAAAAATAGAATGTATTTATTTTTAAATATAATGTAATATTTATCGCTATCAGGTCGTATCACGATAATACTTAGTTTATATAAAAATAAATAGACCTAAGTAACAAATGCTTTTATCGCTATAAAAACTTTACTATTTGGACTTTACTACGGTGGATTAATAGTTTTGTGATTTAATAATAATCGTACAGAGTAGGAAACAAAGAGAGAGCAATCCTTAAGAGCATCACTCATGAAAGAGAAACCGATGGGCAGAGATAGTTAATGAAGTCTTTCTATAACGAACAATGATAGTTCTCCGTTTAAATTAAATTAAGCTTTTTGTCTTGTTTAAGATAAAAATATCTTTATTATATATTAACATTGTACGTCGTCAGAAAATATTAAGATAATTATCCCGGACGTGTAATAACGTCGTTCTTGAACAGGTGCGGTTAGATTTAAGTTTATTCGCTAGGTTTTGCGGAGCTAATACTAGTTTCACACGAGGGCTGAACAGTGATGCAGTAGTTGCAGTATTACGGTAGTACGGTACAGTACTGTACACAAAGATAGAAAAAACTGCTCTAATAGTCATGTTAATGCGCAGTCCATACGCATTAGCATGAGTCTATGATTAGTTAAAACGCGTACTTGTCAAAATATTTCTCTTCTGTCTCATCTTTGTGAGCACAAATAATAGCAGTACTGGACTATCCTACTGCACTGTCTTATTATTTTACCCTCGTGTGAACCTAGCATAACGTTAGCAAGACTTCAGTAGTATCTAGCGGCTGCATCTCGCAGACCTTTCTCTTATCGATAACTCGACTCCAGATAGAATCGTAACGAGACGACTTTCAGTCTCGTAGAAAACTATTTCGTCATTCCTTAGCTTATTCACATCTATTTCATAAATTAAAGATCAAACGGTAGTATGACTGGGAACTTATTTATTTTTATTTCATTTATTGGTATTTTATTTTTACAGGCTGGAAACCAAATGTTGAAAATTTAATAGACTCAGATGATATTTAAATACTCCTTCGTCATTGGCATGTAAGTACATATACCTTTCCCATAAGCTTTCTCCGCAACATAACTGCACACATCCAAATCTCCTCTAGATTTTGTTTTTAATAAATATAGCTGTATGTTTCTACCACCCTTATGCATACAAAAGTTAAAAATTTCTTTTATAAACCTAACCTAAATTACTATAGTTTTTAACTTTTTACAATCAATTTAAAATAGTCATATTCATAATCTTCTAAACTGTTATCACAAAGTATATCTTATACAAACAGTCCGGTTTAGACCACAACCGGCCTCTATTGATTTTGACTGATTACAAGCCACAAGTGCCCGTTATCTGTGCCCACGACGTTGGCGCGCAAGGGCACCACGCTTGACATTTCGGTCATGATTGAAGAATTCAGATACCATAGACAATTTTTTATTTAAATTTGAGGATTTTACCTAAATAAATTTGTACCTTTAATTCAAAATTGTTCCATCCAATTTGTTATTTTTTTTGTTTCTATTTGATTTCATTAAAGCTATAAATAAATAAAAACTTTTCACGGTACAATTATTCCTACCTTTCTTTTTATTCCTATGAAATGGTCAATAAGCTTAATAGTTCCGGAACGCATCATTATTTAACAATAATAGTATGTATAGTTCCTTATCAATCTTAAGACGCAAAATGTAATTTCTAACACGTCGCTGCAGTGATTATTTTCTCGTATATCATAACAGAGACCAGCTGTGCAAATATTTTATGTAACTATTTCATTAGGTAACATATAACATAAATGAATAGCAACAATGAAGTTAAAATACCGCCAACGTTTGGACTGCGGAGCGAAATCGTGACCGAATCGATTTTCTTTCAAATTCAACTTTGAGCGGTACGCATACGGACACATTTTGTAATCTGCTTCTAACACTGGCAACATTTCCCCGATGTTGTTTCTATCTCTTTCCTACGTAGGAGGCGTGCTTCGCCATTTCGAATGGAATTTTGCAACGCAACAGAATGAAGTATAGCTGTCCTTGTCTCACGCGACCCTTGACCTAATCGATTTTAGTGAATGTGGCCGGTTCGCGGTTTCGCGGATCGATTAATTATTCCTAAGATTTAGATCTATGCCCGCAATTGCGTGCTTTAGGAAGAATTTAAGATGGCGCTATTGCGAACTTTACGTTGCACAAATGTATAAGCGTGTTTAGGTTCAAATAATTGTTTGAATAATTTTAGAATGTTATCAAACTATTTAATATTTATCTAATTTAAACCTTTTTCTATATTAGCGATATCAAGCGCTGCCATAAAATAATGTATTCAATATATTCTAAAGTACGTAATGTAAAATGATACTATAAAAATATATTTTTTTAAAATAAAGATAATTGTCGAGTTTATTTTTAGTACCTTTACATAAGTAGTACACAAAAATAGTCAATTCTAAATTACATCAAGTAAAATAAATTTTAGATTTACTTCTTTCCTACAAGTATCAAAATTATTTGAAATTTTGTCTATCAATGTAAATATTTTATTAAAGATTAAAAATTCAACAAAATGACAATATAAGGAGACTGTGAACAAAGTAGGAATTTAATATATAAAATATATTTATGGACCGATAAAAAATAATAAAAAAAATAAAAAAACTCTGTTCTAGTTTAGCCGACTGCTAACGAATGCTGACCCTAATAGCAATAAACAATAGATTCAAATAAACAGGCATTACGAATAAAGGCGCGTCCGATCTGTTTATAGTGTTTATAGGTTCGTGCGAAAGTGGCGACGACGGAATTTATATGTCTTAGTGCAAATCGCAACCACTCTCTCCTCTTACTAAGGATTCATCGTTATAATACACCTTAAAGTAGATTTAACTAAACCAAGAGAACTAAGACGTCCGGATTACTAGTTACAACACTTAACAGGGTTTGAATAATTTTGTAGAAGACTAGCTGTTGCCGCGATCGCATCTGCTTCGCGAAACTAAGTGAAAAAACCGAGTAGATACTTGTCACATA